GGAGAAAGCTCGGGGAAAGCCGGGGGAAGCAGGCAAGGGACCCAGGGGACCAAGGAAGGCAGAAATAAGGATAGGACAAGCCCCCGAAACTCGGAAGGAGCCATGCCTAAGAAAGTAAGGGTCACGGACACAAGGCGCAAACTAGCCGAGATAGACAAGAGGACCGCGGAATACAAGGCAAGACTGATTGAGGAAATGATGACTGGGAACGAAGAAGGTCCTCTGCAGGAGGAACCTCGGGACGAACGGAAAGCCAACTAAGGTGGGACTAGACAAGGGGATAAAGGTAGTGACCGTGGGGGAACGCCGAGCAAGAGAAGGAAAGAGAGAGAGAACTCTCCGGGGATGGAAGCAGAAAAGGCTACGACTCCGCCAGCCATGGATAATAGGGCTAGCCGCCTGCCGATCACGCCAGCAGTAGCGCGAGGATGCGAAGGACTTTGGAGCCTTAGGGAAAGAGTGTTGGGATGGTTTGACCCGGAAGGAACTATGAAAACCAGAGAGGGACAGAAGGCCGGCAAGGAAAGTCTGGATAACAGTGTGGCGGGCGAGGCCAGCAGCTCCGATGGCGGCCTTAAGAAAATAGTGTTGTCCCTCGCGCGAGCACTAAACAAAAACCAAGGCTATCTGGCAGACGCCAAGAAAAAGTTGACTTTCGATGGGGCAAACATCACGGAGTTCCTGATCGACTACAAGAACCTAGCTGCGTTACTAAAGTGGACCGAGGAGGAAAAGATGGACCATCTAGGACAGCATATGTCGTTAAGCCTAGGGCGGGACATAATGGCCATTGTAGCCACAAGCCGATCTTGGAAGGAGACCCGGGATGTGCTGATGAGGAAGTACCTAGCGGCAGAGAAAATGGCAACGGAGGCCGACCTAGCGGCAGTTCAGAGGAAGAACTTCGCAACGTACAGTGATTTCCTACGAGAATTTACTCTGGTAGCACTAAGGATCCCCGGGGTCACGGACCGGATAATAAGCAAATATTTCCTCAGGCAGTTCTCCGAGTTCGACAAAGACAAGATCCTGTCAGCCTACCAACAGACGAGCAAGTTCGTAAACACGCGGGATGTTGATTTTAGCACGGTAACGGATCTGGCTGAGAAAACGGTAGTAACGGAGACGTTGGCCTTGCTCAAGAAAGGAGAGATCATAGATCTGACCGGTAGGACAGGCGACAAGGTAAAAAAGGGGATTGAAAGTCTACATGAACGGGTGCATGGGGTCGACAATAAGATTGAAAGGATGAAAGGCGCACTAATGGTTATGCAAGCGCAAGTATCCCGACCTGCCCTCCCTCCCCAGGAAGCTGTGGTCCCGCCAGGTATAGCAAACTGGGGATTCGGACGGAGAGATCCTGCTAACGAGCAATGCAAGTACTGCACCGCGATAGGACATTATGTGCGCGCATGCCCAAAGCTCAACCATGATATTCTGAAAAGAAGGTGTACCAGGTCATTAAAGGGGGAGATATTTGGACCACAAGGGGAACGGGTGAACTGGAACTCACCAGGAGGGATGCGGCAAGCCATTATCATGCTCAACGGTCTAGAAATAACAGTTGTCGAAGCCGAACCGGTGGGCGAGATCATCTGGGATTAGCTCCGGGGGCGCGGGCCGCAGGCCAACTTTATTTTGGAAAGCGACGGACGTGATAGGGTGAACGCAACCACTCGACTGGGAATGGTCGGGAAAAGGATTAACCGTGACACCATTATGGAGGAGGTCGTCGGAAGCTCCGAACCCCAGGCGGAGCCTGAGGCCGAGGAACCAGAGAAAGTCTATGGGAAGCTTAGGGAAGAGGAGCCTGCGGACAAGGTTACCGCCGCTAAGAAGAAGTTTAGGTATAAAATCCCGATCTTAACCTTGCCTGAGCTCGATGACACCATTAGCAAGTTACTAGGAACCATGGTGTCGGTGTCTTTTCAGACCATGCTGCAGGCTAGCCCTAGGTTGCTCAAAGGGCTCAGACAACTGTTGACTTGGAGGCGAGTAGAAATAGGCGACAACCCCAAATTACCAGAAGGGGAGAGGGAGGAGGAAGCTCCGCAAGAAGTGGCTAACCTTTAGAGGAGTCACGGGGACTTGGAGGATCTCGAAAAGGCCTTTGCAGACATTCGTTTAAGCTTGCCCGACCGAGAGGGCGGCGAAGTCATGAGATCGCCACCCGGGGCGAAGCTTAGCTTCCATGCGCTGCCCGTAGGGAAACTGAAAATTCAGATCGGAAGTCATCATACCGGCGCATTAGTAGACAGGGGAGCAGAAATCACTCTCATAAGGAGAGATTTCGCAACGATCGAGGGATGTACGGTGAACAAGGAAGTAACAGGGAGCATCCGGGGAGCTGCCGGGTCAATCCCGTTCGCTGGGTACGTCACGAAGTGTGCTGTGAAGGCAGGGGGCAGGGAATTGATCTGGTCGTTTCTGCGGATGACCGTAATGGAGGAAATGGACCACGACATAATCCTCGGGAGACCGTGGTGCGCGAACGTAGAAATGATAGGCATGCACTTGCACGATGGCTCATACATGGTAGACATAGAGGACCCTGTGACCGGCCGGGGAGAGCTCCTCCGACTCCTTGGAACGGAAGGAGACCCCCCAAAGGAGAAATTGGCAACATGGTCGCCGTCGTTCGAGGATAGCACGCGGAAAGGGGCTTTCGCACGGATGGAGGGTATGAGAGAAAGGGTAGAAATCATGATTGAGGAAGCATTCAACAAAAAGGAGTGGATCAAGATGGGCCTGCCCCAGAAGAAGAGGAGGTAGGAGGACGAAGTCCTAGGTGTTATGGTAGTGGAAAAGGAGTCAGAAGTCGAACTGGTGCTAGCCTGCCCAAACGGAAAGAAGTACGCATAGACGTGCCGAAAATTGCACTCGAGATCCCCGATCTATTGCAACTCATCAAGGCTCTCAGGTACCACAAGGTAGGAGTGGATTCGGCAGCCTTGGCCAAGTTCGAAAGAGAGGTGCAAAAAGGATATTGCCTGAATGGGAAACTAGTTAGTATTCAACCACGAGTCGTAGAGGCGACGGGGGCAATTCCGACTGTTCATTTTTTAGGAGAAAGATCCCAGAAGAAAGTGTTCGAAAATACAAGCCGGTAGGAAAAAAAGCAAAACCGGTCTCGATCCTGCTAGAGACGTCAAAGGAAAAGGCTATGGAGAAGGAGGAAGAGGTCCTTCGAGTGATCCGAGAAAGAAGGGCGACGGAGGGACATCGGATACCAGATGAGGTAGCGGACACAATGAAGATAGGGATAGACGGGTTCTTAAATGAAGAAGAAACCCGCCTGATGAAAAGGACCTGCCAGGAGTTTCACCTGGCATTTGCCTTTAGTGATCACCAGAAGGGACGAGTAGATGCGAAGTTGATCCCTCCGGTCAGAATCCACACGGTAAAACATGAGTGCTGGAATGATAAGGGGCCATCCTATGAATTTGGGATAGCAGGAGAAGTAACAGACCTCCGTCGAGCAAAGATGGACTCCTTCGTTGCAGAGCCTACGACATCGCCATACGCAAATCGGTGGTTCGTCTTTCGGAAGCCTAACAAGACACTAAGGTGGATTCAGGACCTGCAGAAGTTGAATGCGGTAACCATCCGGGATGCTGGCTCACTACCGCAGGCTGACTTATTAGCAGAATCGCACGCCGGTCGGAGCATTTACTCCTTGATAGATCTGTATTCAGGGTACGACCAGCTTCCATTGGACGTTCGGAACAGGTCATACACCGCTATGCACACCCCTGTAGGCCAGCTACAGATGCAAGTGACACCTATGGGATTCACAAACGCAGTGGCCGAAGTGCAACGCAGGATGCTCGCTGTGGCCGGGGACATGTTCCCAGAAAAATGTGAACCTTACATCGATGACAATCCGATCAAAGGCGCGCAGGAGAAGGACGAGACGGAAGTCCAGCCGGGGATCCGACGTTTTGTGTGGGACCACCTGCAGGACATCAAGGATCTACTCCGACGGTTCCTAGTATACAACATTACGGCTAGTGGACCGAAGAGTATCCTAGCAGTACCGGAGGTAACTATACTAGGATTTCGTTGCGGTGCTTACGGCAGGAAGCCGAAGCCGGCAAAAACCGACAAGATATCACAATGGTCGACACCGTTGCGCACGACAACGGAGGTAAGGGCATTCCTAGGCGTAGTCGGCTTTTGGAGGATCTTCAGTAAGAACTTTGCCAAGATTGCTTAGCCTATCCAGGCTATGATCAGAGAAGAAGGAACCATGGATTGGACGGAGGAGCGAGAAGGAGCTGTCTAAAGGCTCAAGGACATATTGACATCTGAGACGGTCGCCCTGTCCGCGCCTTGTTTTAATGACGAAGTGGGACGACCCTTCATCCTAGAGACGGATGGAGAATCTTTGGCCGTAGGAGGTGTGTTGATTCAAAAGGATGAGGGAGGGAAAGAGAGGCCGATTAGGTTCGAAAGTAGAACCCTGAACTCCGCTGAACGGCGGTACTCGCAATTCAAGAAAGAAGTCCTAGTCATCTTGCATTGACTTAAGACCTTCCAGGCCTACCTATTTGGGAGGCGGTTCATTTTAAGGATTGATCCGACGAATGTCGCAGGGGCTCTAAAAAATTACAGGCCTATAGATCCGACGGTAGGGAGATGGGTAGGATTCATCTGGCAGTTCGATTACAAGATCGAACGGATTGCTGGAATCCGCAACAAGGAAGATGGGCTAAGTCGCGTTTGCATCACTCCCGAAGGGATGGAGGATGCGGAGCCCATAGACACCTTCCTCGAATACGAAGGAGGGGCTCTCGCGGTGGATAACGAAATGATGAGCGAGGGATGCGCATCGGGAGAGCTATTGATCCAGACTTTGGAGAAGGGAGCACCTGCCGTAGTAGCAGAACTTAGGGAAGGACCAGTTGCCACTCAAGGACGCAAAGAAGAAAAAGACTCATGGGGAGCGATAGTAGGACCGAAAGAGGAGCTAATGGCAATGGCGGTCGAGGGAGGCCGGGAGGCAGTGATGAGCTTAGTGGAGTCTTGGGAAAGGAAAGAGTTGCAATGGGTGGTAGACCAGATGCAGGAAGGAAAGGATGGGGGCCAAGACGGGGAAGAGTTTTTCTATGTCCAATCATACGAAGGGTTTTTTCGGGAGATCAGGTTGTTGTTGGTAGGAAACAAACAAACTACGGAAGTCAATATTAAAGCAAGAGAAGAAGCCGAGAGGTACGTCATAAGGGGCGGACATTTGTTCCGAAGGGAGGAAGGTGCTATGCCCAGAAGGGTTGTGTGCGGAAGATCTAGGCAAATAGACGTTATCCAGGCAATGCACGACGGGTTAGCTGGAGGTCATCGGTCGTCCAAAGGAACACTTGCAAAGATAACGCCGCTCTATTATTGGCCAGGCATGGCAGGCATGGTCGCCATATACTGCCAGACTTGCCTTATTTGCCAAGAACGAAGCTCGGTACAAGTCTTCGAGCCGCTTAGACCAACGCGGGTGCTAGGGCCGGGACATTTGGTCCACCTCGACCTTGCGGTCATGCCTGTATCAACGGATGGGTACAGGTATATCCTAGATGCGCGGGACAACTTGAGTGGGTTTGTGGAGGCAGTCGCCCTCAAGAAAAAGACAGGAAGGAGTGTGGCAGGACTGGATAGAAGACTTCCACTTAAGGCATCCGTTCGTCAGGAGGTTTATAGCAGACAATGAGACGGAATTTGTGAACCAAGAAGTATTGGGGATGCTTAAGAGACTTTGCGTTCTGATCAAACTCATCGAGCCGTATCACCCTGAGGCCAATGCACCTGTGGAAAGGGGGCACCGAACCTTGAAGAACACGATTGCAAAGCTCGCAGCAGACCATCTGGGGAATTGGCCTAGGTATCTTAAGCAGGCTGTCTTTGCAGAGAATATGACTCCTAAAAGGACAACAGGATGTATCCCGACAGAGCTTTGGTACGGAAGAGAGATTGACTTTCCTGTGGAAGCCTTGGTACCTACCTGGAACAGGTTAGATGATGATCCGCAAATGACCACTGAAGAATTAATCGAGGCAAGATGTCAACAAATCCTTAAGAATGAGGAGGTCATGGAAGACATCGCCAGCCGGGTGCTGGACAACAGAATGAGAGACAAAGCAAGGTGGGACCAGGTTAAGAATGTGAGAAAGGAACCACTTCATGTGGGGGAGATGGTATTGCTAAGGAACTCGGCACTAGAAAGTACTTGGTCGGGACAGTTAGGAAGGAGGTTCAAAGGGCCCTACCGGGTCGCCAAGCGGGTGGGACTGAACACCTTCGAACTGGAAGATTTGGATGGAACTGGATTGAAAGGGCCCTTCCCGGGGCAACGACTGGTCAGGTTTCTAAGTCAGGACCCAGTGGAACACTGGCTTCAGGAGGTCGAAGATAAGGAAACAGAGGAGCCACAAGCTAAAGACTGACCACAACCTTGCCCACACTATGGTTTGTCTCTAACCATGTTCGTGGGACTGTCATTTTTTTTGGGACTGGCGCTTTGGCTTGGACTGACTGAGGTTGAAAGGCAGCATGACTTGGGGGTTTGCAATATCTGGCATGTGTGACAACGGGAAGGGATGTTTGGGGTATTGTACCATAGTTTTTGACCGGAAAAAAATGGGGTCATCACAAACGACGCATTCACATGTATAAAAGGGGCGTGGTGCGAGAGATACTGGGTGCATTTTGGGAATGTCTACCGGCCTAAGGGGGGGGGAGGCGCGAGTGTGTGAGGGACATTGCGGGTGTTGTTTTGCTACACAGGGCTTAGGAGTAAAACGAGAAAAGACAAAAATGGAATTCGGCAACGAGAACGACAGCGGGGCAATCAACAGGCCTACCGGAGGAGAAGAAGCGGGACCAAGCCAAGGGAGGAGGACAACGAAGAGAAAATTGTACATCGGGCTCATGGGCGGGCCAGTGGTAGGCAAGGGTGGAAGGAAATGCTTGTGTAGGAAACCCTCACCCCTCCGCAAGGGAGAAGGTATAGAAATATCATCTGGCAGTGAGGGCGAAAAGGGAAGGGCAAATGTGGAAGAAAGAGGTGACACGGAAATGGGTGATAAGGCTCGGGTCTCTAACGAGGAAGGGGCCAACAGGGGCGAACCACGTGAGACTTGGCATGGGGAAAGCGAGGGGGGACAAGGTATGGGCGATGAACGTGAGGAGGACGAGGAGAAAAGGGAGAGCCCGCTTGAAGGACGAAGCGGTCACGGCAGTTGCGAGGGGTATGGGACGGGGACAAAGATCCCTTTTACCTACTGTAGCGGACCCACCAGGTGTGGTGCTCCGCTAGTGACGGAGATGGAGATGGAGGAAGAAGGGGGAGCAAGATGGCACAACGCAGCTCCCCACGC